AATCATTTGCTTTATTAGACTCTATAAGGTTAGTAACACCCAAAAATGTAGTCTTTTTGGTGTATTTTTATGGTGTTAATTGACTTTTTGAACAAAACAATTCCAGGGGGGGGCAAAAAACAGCCCTGGCTAAAATCCTGTGTACGCGCCTGGGCGGCACACACCGGTTGTCCCCATCCTCCATCCTTTAAGACCCTGCATCAATTGTTAAAAAAGTTTGAGACAAATATTGAGAAATTCTTTTTGTGCATGTATGACATGTATTCATATATAATATATATACTAGGTCATTTTAAAACGAAAAAAAAACTTCGTGGATTTTAAAGTTTTATAAAAATTCAAATTTGGGCCTGATCGGTTTTTTGCACACAATCAGACGCGTATAGATGCATGATTAGCTCACCTATGACTTTATTTATAAACTAAATCCAGTTCATAATTACAAAGTTGATGATCTTACTTCGAACAGTTACCATGCTCACGGACTTATTCATTCATTACTTAGTCACTGCTGGTTAGAAACTGAATATAAAACATCGTTAAAATGGAGAGCCCGGCTTTAGACCTGAAATGGTAGTTGAGCTGAAAATGCAGTATTGTAGAGAAATTTTTTAGGATTCATTTGAAAATCTCCTGGATTGTCCATTTTGGAGGGATGATTTTGAGAAAACTGCGAATAATATTGTAAGTAATAAGAAAATCAATACCATAATGATAAAGAAATTATTGATTTCTATAGAGAAATATGTTCCTATACAACTAATTATTTTACTGCAGAATTTTTGTAACATTTTTATCATAGTTATTGAATTATTTTTAAAAGACCGATTCTCAAAATCATTCCTCAAGAATGGACAATCAGGAGGAATTTAAAGATTTAATTTGCGCTCTTGCTAAACAAATATAAACTGTAAAAACGTCTTGTAAGTCTCAAATGAATGCTGAATATTTTTCTACAATACGTTGTACTTTCAGCTCAACTTCCATGTTTAGCCATACTCTCCATTTTCAAAAGTCCCAATTCATCTTGCAAATTGTAAACAATATCATGGTTTCTCTCAATACGTAATTGTTCTTATAATCTATCTCCGATTTAGATTCTTAAACCAATGTATATACGCCACCCCATACACAGAAATAATCAAGTCTAGTTTTAGAAGTTTTGATAACTAATGTATCTTAAATGTTTTTTGAACATCGGATCACTTCTTAAGATAGGATTAGGGTGTCTTTATGATCTTGATCTCCCATGATCATCTGCAACATGACGATCGTTATATTTTGAAAGAAAGCTTGGAATTCAATATTTTTTTCAAAGGTGTATACCTATTAAAATGTACCAATATTAGTTACACTCTAAATTAAAAATCATAATTAAGCGATAAAAATGCCAAAAAGATGGCATCCGATTAGGCGTCAAAAAATCGCTTAACAGAAATCGCTTATTTTTAACAAAAAAATCACTTACATTGCAGAAAAAGTTTGTGACTGCCAAATAAGCGACATAAAATCTCTTATTTTCAACAAAAAATCGCTTATTTTTTAATACAAAAAAAACACTTATTTTGCAGCAGAAATTTACAGCTTCAAAGTAAGCAACAAAAAATCACTTTTTTTAACAAAAAAGTTGCTTTTTTGGTTAACAGTAGTGTGTAAGCCAGGGTTTCATTCACATTGTAGTTTCGTTAGAAATTATTTTAGAACAAGATTTTTTTCTGTTTATATTTGATAAAGCTACCCCTTCACTAATTAAATCTTAAAGATAAAGAAAAGAAATCCTTAAATATTGATAAATGAATATAAAATAAAAAGTTGAATCTTCTATCATTAAATGGAATTTCAAAAATAATTTCAAATTTAAAAAGATTTATTTTTTCCAATTTCTATCAGAATCTTTAAAGACTGACTACTCTGTTCCCACTGTTTTTAGTTTTAGAATATGATTCTTTTAATTCAATGTTTTCAATTATGTGTTCAATGGAAGCTGGGGTCTTATCCAAATTGTAAATTATTTGAAATTTAAACAGTGCCATCTAACGTAGAATAAAATAAACTTTTTCAATACCAGGTAATATATTCATTGCATGATATTGTATTATATTAACCAAGAATTGGCAACTTCTGATTTAAAATAAGATTAAATCCAAAACTTAAATTCCATACCTAACTAAAACCCATGATCACAGGATTTATAGAAAACCAGTTTATTTGATATAAACCAATTAAAAACTGCTTAAAATTCAAAATTCCAGAACCAAATTAATCCAGTAGAAATAAATCATGAAATTATTTTACATAAATCAAATTAAACTTTTTAAATGCAGCCATTCTGTAGCTTATAGATTGGTGAGTCAAAAAAAAATGTGATTATCAATGCCTGGTGCAAAATTTAAACTTTTTTGCAATTCTCCTGTTTTCTGTTTTTTTCAATATTTTTTGAGAATTTTAGATTTTTTTTTGGTTTTCCAATGGCCCAAAAAAAATCTGCAAATTTTTTTCTCTCAAAATCAAAAGTTCAAACAAAGCAAAAATATTTATATAAATAATTTCTATCAAAATCTAAAATTTTAAAAAGATTGAATCACAGATAATTCGCAAAATTGTAATGAGAAAATTTTCAATTTTCAGTTCTAGTCTAATTTTTAAGGAAACGTTGTTTATTAATGGTTCTTCAGGTTTCAACTGAACAGCGTCATTTAAAACGTATATACTAAGAAGAAAGGAACTAGAGAATTCAAATAATTTTTCCTTAAAAATTAGGCCAGAACTGAAAATTGCAAATTTTCTTTTTACAATGTTGCGAATTTTCTTTGATTCTGTGATTCAATCTTTATAGAATCTTAGATTTTGATAGAAATAATTTATATAAACATTTTTGCTTTTCTGAACTTTTGATTTTGAGAAAAAAAGGTTCGCGAATTTTTTTGAGCCATTGGAATACCAAAAAAAATTTCAAAATTTCAAAAATATTGAAAAAACACCATACAAGAGTTGCACAGTAAAGGTAAAATTTTCCACCAAGCGCCGCTAATTTTTTCGACTTACTCTGTATATATGTATATATATAAAATGATGTATATATAATAGATATATACATAATATCTAGTTTATTCTGGTTCTAGTAGTACTTTCAACATATGTTTTAACAGCATTTCAGATGGAAACTTTTAAGTTAACGAAATTTAGTTTATGAATTTAAAATTTAAATAAATTGGCTAAAATGTATCACCATATGTGTTCCTAAAAATGTTTTTATTTTATAAAAGCTAAATTATAATTTTTAGAATATTTCGAAGAATTTGATATTTATTAACATACAGGGTGTCCCTATAAACATGGGAATTCAGTGACGAATTCATTATCGTCTTAATAAATAATTCTTTGATTCAGTATAGTGATACCTACTGAGAAAGCTGTAATCTGTAAGAGTTTCGTCTTCTATGTTCACATTTTGTTTGTTTATGTTTTGACTGCATACGGTTGTACTTATTAAAACAAGAAAATTACAGTATATAAACAGAGTAAACTTGTCCGTCTTCACTGTTCATCTTGCGGAGACATTATAGACACATCTTTGCAGTCTTTTACCCTTTTCATATAATAAACTCTAGCAGACATTATAATATTATGGCTTTTGAAATTAGGTATTACAATGCTAATTAATAACAAAGACGATATCCAATTCGTCACTGAATTCCCATGTTTTTTGGGACACCCTGTAGTTAATATGAAAAATAAATTGGCGCTAGGACAAATTATTGTAAGGACAAATGATTGCAGGACTAACAAATTACATAGCACTCATTAAACTGAGTGTGTGTATTTTTTTATTGTTTAATATAAGTAGTTTTATTATACTTTTCCTTAATTACACTAAACCATTTTTTATCTATTTTTTGTGGACAAAATTAGAAATATTTAAATCTTTCTAAAGTTACCTCAACTGGTTTCTTGTGAAAGGTAGATTTTCGAGTTTATTTAATAGTCTATAACTGTGCTGCAGAGTGGGGGGGGGGTAGTGGAGTATACATTAATGATATCAGAGAGAGATTTATCTCGCAATACCACCTTTACTCAGCAGAGGGAAAGTTTATATTTACTCCGCTAGATGGCAATGTTTATTTCTAGATATTCTTCAATTTAGATGAGACACTGCACTTCCACTGAACACATAAATATATACAGTGAGCTATGTACTATTCTCTTTTTGATTATAAAAGTATTGATGCACAGTTCAGATATTTCCGGCAGAAATAGAAACATGATCATTTCTTTCTATTTTAAAGTTTAGTTTGTATATATTTGAGCTGTCAATATATTTTTTATAACAAATACAGCAGGGAATGTTTTTAGAGTTTGAACAAAACTCACTGCTTGCCTTGTCTAGTAATAAACTGTGCTACCCTCAAAACTATGGAATAATAGTGCAGTGTACACAGACCTATATATTACAAATAAGCCAATAGTTAAAATAAAGTTATTGACAGGTTCATAGTATATATACAGTATAAACAATTTTACTACACTACCTTCCTTTAAAGTTACCAAGGTTTGCTTAATGATAATTACGATACATGTAACAAATTTGTGTGAATTTTATAATCAAAGTATCAGTCAATGCAGTTGAAATTTGGAGAAGCTTACGAGTTTCAAAATAAAAACAATGAAAGAAATGTTTATCGATTATTATTTAGTTGTATTTTAAGAGAAAAAGACCGAATTTAAAGAATTTGAGCAGCGGCTTAAATTTAAGCCGGCGCTCAAATGAAACCGGTGTTTTGTAGATTTAAGCCGTGGCTTAAATTCATCAAATTCGGACTTTAGCTACCATAGATAAAGATAGATTGCGCATAAGACGACATTTTTCATCTTGAAATATATAAATGTACAGAGATGTTCTTATTCTTATTATATACAGGGTGTCCCACATCATATTAGACCGTCAACAGGTCTAAATTGCGATTTTCGGGACTAATAAGAAAATTTAATTAGAATAAATCAATTTGAAAAATAACATAAGGCTTATATAATAATTTTCTTGCGGAAAATGATAAGTTTTTCGAGTATTAAGGGTTTATTTTGTCGTTAAAGATTAGAGATAATCTAATATGATATGGGACGCTCTGTAGATTAACTAGGTCGGTTGTGAACATTGGATGTTCTTATGTCATTGAGTACTTGTGGTGTACATGAGCTCTGTAGAGAGAAATTTAAGTAAGGTTTAGTCTTTCTCATGTCCTTCTTCAGTTCTCGTCAATATGATATATTGCTCAGTGAAATATTGTTGTTCATATAGTTCCATTCCCCGGAGTTATTTCACACTCTATTATGAAATCCATTAAAACACCAAACCACCCCGCATATAATTGAAGTACACTTTGACCTCTAGAAGTATGATTTCGCGGACTGTACAAATTCTTGGTGATTTTGCGTACATCTATCTACAGCTATCTATGTTTATTTATTTATTTATGTAAGAATGGCTGCATTCAAAAAGTTTAATTTGATTGTTGTGAAATAATTTCATGATTTATTTCTACTGGATTAATTTGGTTAATTCTGGAATTCATATCATGAAACATTTACTTTAAGATGGTAATTTTGAATTTTAAGCAGTTAAAATAAATAAAATTACGTCAAGTTATTTGAATTCTTTAGTTCCTTTCTTCTTAGTTTATTCAAAATTTAAAAATATACGCTGCTCAGTTGAAACCTGAAGAACCATTGAATAACAATTTTTCCTTAAAAATTAGAACAGGACTGAAAATTGCGAATTTTCTGGTCACAATTTTGCGTATTTTCTGTAATTCTGTTATTAAATGTTTTTAAATTTGAAATTTCGATAGAAATTATTCATATACAGATTTTTGCTTTTCTGAAATTTTGATTTAGAAAAAAAGGGTTCGCAGATTTTTTTTGGGGGCAATTGTAGTACCAAGAAAATTAAAATTTTTCAAAAAAAATTGAAAAATTACCATACAGGAGAGTTGCACAAAAAAAGTAAATTTTGCACCAGGCCCCACTAATCCCACTTTTTTTATTCACCCTGTATATATGCAGGATGATTAGATAATTCCCTTTCATCCTGTAAATCTTCGAGTTAAATAATATCTGAATGTAATTTTAATCTGTGATATCTTGTAGACCAGATTTTTGTCAAGCTTTTAAAATAACTAATATTGGTACATTTTAATGTATAATCCTTTAAAACAAATATTTAATCCCAAGCTATCACTTAAAATATACCGATCATGAGAGATCAAGATCATTAAGACTCCCTAATCTCCCACTAGACTACCACCAATTCACAAAACATAAGCCTAATTAGATTCAATTACATGATGAAATTACATGATTGTTTATTGATCAGATTTATGAATGGATTTGTCACAATGATCGCAGTGGCCTCCTGGACATTGGGACATCTTAAACTTGTTATCTCTACAGAGTACTATTAGATTTTATAGAGGTGCGCTATTCCAGGGAATTATCTCTACTCTCTGTTTCAGGAGGGGGGGGGGGGGGGGGGGGGGGGAGGGGTCTAAAGAGGAAGTATTTGTTGAAGAAGAAGCGGAGAATTCAAAGGGGAAGGAAGTATTCCAAGGGGAAGGAAGTATTTCAAGAGGAAGCTAGTATTCCAAGGGAAAGGAAGTATTCCAAGGGGAAGGAAGTATTCCAAGGGGAAGGAAGTATTCCAAGAGGAAGCTAGTATTCCAAGGGGAAGCTAGTATTCCAAGGGGAAGGTAGTATTCTAAGGGTAAGGAAGTATTCCAAGAGGAAGCTAGTATTCCAAGGGGAAGCTAGTATTCCAAGGGGAAGCTAGTATTCCAAGGGGAAGGTAGTATTTCAAGAGGAATCTAGTATTCCAAGGGGAAGGTAGTATTTCAAGTGGAAGAAAGTATTCCACGGGGAAGCTAGTATTCCAAGGGGAAGCTAGTATTCCAAGGGAAAGGTAGTATTCCAAGGGGAAGGAAGTATTTCAATGGGGAAAGTAGTTTGTTGAATGTAATATTCTAAGGGGAAGGTAGTATTCCAAGGGGAAGGAAGTATTCCAAGGGTAAGGAAGTATTCCAAGGGGAAGGAAATATTCCAAAAGGAAGGCATTATTCCGTGGGGAAGGATGTATTCCAAGGGGAAGAAAGTATTCCAAGGGGAAGGAAATATTCCAAGGGGAAGGCATTATTCCGTGGGGAGGGTAGTTTTCCAGGGAGAAGGTAGTAGTCCAAGGGAAAGAAATACATATTCCAAGGGGGGCTGTAGTAGTCCTCGGGGAAGGTTGTAGTCCTCGGGGAAGGTAGTAGTACAAGGGGAAGATATACATATTCCATGGGGGGCTGTAGTAGTCCTCGGGGAAGGTAGTAGTCCACGGGGAAGATAATAGTTCAAGGGGAAGGTAGAGGTTTGAGTTTAAAATGAGTATTATCTTGATTTACAATATATTAAGCATAATCTGAAATTTTCAACATTTCCCCGAAATAGTGTTGGCATTTGTGCTGTGCAGTACACACTTTGCACTGCACTTAACGAAACCCTAAATTGAGTGCCGAAATGAAATAATTAATTTCTTAAAAAATTGTTAGTCCTTCTCTTGCAGTAAAACTATCTTAATTGCTTAAAGAAAATAAAGATGACAAAATATATCCATGTATTTTAACTATTTACTTTCTTCAAATGATCTAGAAGTCTCTTAACATGAGGAGGTAGAGGGGGCGCTACAGGGAAATGAGATCCAGACGGATGGAAACCTAAAACAATAATATATAATAATAATAATAATAATAATAATAATAATAATAATAATAATACTAATAATAATAATAACAATAATAATAATAATAATAATAATAATAATAATAATCATAATAATAATAATCTGGTGTATTGTACCTGTATCGTCTGCTGTATATGTTACAGAGATTACTTCTCCTTCAGGACTCAGGTAACTGTAACTTCCCTGTAAAGGATACAATAAGAACCATAAATTTCTGGATCAGGATGACGACATTTTATCAATACGTAGGTGTATACTGTATTCGATGTTACAACGCAAATCGTTTTTATGGTTTACTTAATAAATCACTTTTCATGTTAAATAGGTCTGTTTGAACTGTGTCTCATGTTCATTGGGCTATTTACAGTCAAAACTAGAGTCTGAAAGTCGTCTTCCCATTTCAGAGTTTTTTTAGTTCTCAATGTATTATGACATTTCGTTTGAGTGCAAACTGGACAACACTAAAGGTCGAGACGTTAAAGGAAATGTAGACGTTATCACAAGCTGATCCTCGACGTTTATGTACATCCGATTCAAGACCATACCCTTTAAACTTGTGCCTGTTTAAACCTGACAGAACTATCCTCATATTTTTAGCAGAAAATTGAGTGCCATTTACTTGAAACTAGTAAATCTACAGGATTTTATCCCCACAGTGCAGGAAACTCGAGTGTTCACCTGTATAACGTGTACATTGTAAATGCACTCTTGTCTAAGAATTTCCTGGCACTTAATTTTTATCTAGGAATATAAGGGTACCCTTGGGAAAACAAATTACTAATCTAATACTCTATAGATGGGGGGGGGGGGGGGGGGGCGCGAGAAGGTAGATAACTTGAATTACATCTACAGCTAAATTTTCTACGCCGAATATCATTTGAAATTATATTAGTTTAGGTTTTAAATATTTGAAGATTTGAATACTCCTCCCCTGAAAAAGTATTTTACCTGCATTCCTATAGAGTCCCCTGGACCCATGGAACCAGATTCCTGCCGAGATGACCCATCTTCGGATGTAAAACTAAACAGTATTTTTTGAAGGAACTGAATCGTAATTTCAAGTGGCCACCCATGCAAAGATAGCAATGCCCAAGTTGCAACAGTACCCTTGAAATGCACAAATCAATTTTGCGGAGAACCCTCGAATGAAAATAGTTAGTTTAAAAATAAAACAAGCTTTCTATTCCATACTAGTTAAGAAAAAGCGTTGAAGGGTACCGTTGTAAATCTGACACTGCCATGTCATCTTTGCACTTGAAATTACGCTTATGCAAGCTACAGTCCCATTAAAGGACAAAATATAAAATTATTTTTGGTTTCATCAATTTTTAAAGAATAAAAACATAAATTCACCTAAAATCATATTTTCCATCCAATCTTGGTGGATTATTTTTTATATTAGATTTTGAAAAGCTCGCAATTTTACGCGGCAATCTTTCTCCACGGTCCTCAGGATTGTTAGCTTGTTGTCCATTGACTAACCTGAGAAAAAAAAATGCATTTTAAAATGTTTTTTTTGTCTATTTAAATTGACAAATATACCTAAGTGTTTCTTCTGCGGAACTGATTTCCGGACGGCTTAAATTTTCCTTTTCCGGTTCTTTTACTTCCGGTTTAAACACGTGTTCTTCCCTTTCTTTCCAGTCTTCCAAGAATTCTGCAGTAACGCCATCTTGATTTAATCCAGCTCCAGATTCTGGATTACTATTTTTACTTTGTTGTGAGAATGTATCCTCTCTTAAGACGGGATTTAGTTCTTTGTTTGGAAAAATATCTTTTCTTTCACTAGAACTTGATAATTTTTAGTAAACTTTTTCCAACTTTTTATTTCAATAATAACTTTTTTATTTCTAACGTATTTTCTTAAAATTCTTTAATAACCCTCTCCCAGCATATATCTTAATTCAAAAATACTTAATGCATGTGTCTTATGTTTTTTTCTGAATTGATTTTTTTTATCACCTTCAGAGCCTAAGATTTTGTTCTTTCTCTTTTATCTATATTTGCAATTGCTTATTTGAGTTTTCGTTTCCTTCTTTGCTGATTAAAAGTATCGTAAAACAGTTTTTTATGCTTCTTCTTCTATTTTCCCCCTTATTTAAGCGAGATTTAAAATGGAAAGATATTAGTTTTGTTTACTAAAATTCCTGTTTAAATCTTCCGTTTTGGTATATTCAAGATTAGGTTCTCTTAGCTCCGCTCTTCTCCTAACTGTATCCGTCCTTGCACCCTGAGCACTGTGCGTCCTGATCCTTGGTTCTCCTAAACCTTCTTTTGTATAAGGGTAGGGTTGAGTGCCAAGGTTCTCCGTGTGTATTTGTGCACCAGGAGAACTTAATTTATCCTGTCGACTCAACTCGGTTTCAGACTTGATTCCAGGTTCAGAGCTTGTCTCAGAGAAATCCGGATTATGAGATTTGTTTTCATCCTCAAACTGTTTTCTGTTCTTTTTCTGATAAAATATTTGATCATTGTTTCTTCTGAGTTGATTTTGTCTTGGAGACGACTGATAAGGATTTACAACTGACTGATTTCTTCTAATCTCTGGCTGATTTTTATCCTTGATGGACTGATTAAACAAATTCTTCTGATGATGATGTCCAGGTGTAGCAAGTGTTGAGGGATCTTTAGGATTAAATACATATTTACGCTGTACCTCAACCTGTTTAGGAACGTTTTCCTTTGAATACTGTTTTCTTGTTTCAATTAAAGGAAAATTTTTAAACTTTGAAATCTCATCCTTCTCCTCTTTCTCTTCAAGCCTCGCCAGAATGGTTTCCAGCGAAATAACTTTACCCTGATTTTCTCTTGATCTGAGAGAATCGTATCCTCCTATTCTTTGGGTTTCCTGGGAGCCGGAGTAGGACGAATTTGTAAAAACTGTATCCAGGATGATCTCCAGGTCTGTAGCTAGAGTTGTGAGCTGAATATCCTCATCAGATGGAAGATCAGTCCCGGAGTTTATATTATCTTCTCCAGGAGAGCTAGGGGGGACTGAAATAAACTCCTCAGTTTCCAAAATATCTTCAGTTTCAGGTTCAAAAGAAGTTGGGAGTTTGGAGGAGATTGTACTTGAACTGTTCTGGAAAATAAAAGGATTGGGAATGTTCAGAAATGTGGTTTGGGAAACTGATGAATTTGGGTTGTTGTTGGTTGGAATTGATTTGATGGAATTTGGATTGGAATTACTATAAAAGAAAGTTTTGGTGGGAGATGTGTTGGGATTATTTTGGGATAGATACTGGGAAGAGGAAGGGTTGGGAAAGCTTGATTTACTCCGGAAAACTGATTGCGGAGAGGTGGGTTCAGGTTCGGATGAACTTGATTCTTCAGGTTGTGAGGATACTGGACCTTGGGTTGGTATTCTGTATCTCGGGTTGGGTTCATCTGATCCATGCAGTTCTCCGGGTAGAGGGAGAAGTTGGACGGGTTGGTTTGAATCCAGGGTGTTTATACCGGTACACTGTTTCAAGGTTAACAGATACACCACACACCAGACCCGCATCTGTAATAATAATAATAATAATGACAATAATAACAATTTAGTCCCCAGGGAAGGTTTATGAATGATCAAAATTTCAAATATTTGTCTCCATTAAAATTCGATCTTCATTAAATTTTTGAAAATTTTGAAAATCCACGAAATTTTTTGTGAAAATCTGCGCATTATTTTTGTTTTGTTTTACGATGTACACAAAGAGAACATGTTTACTATTAATTTAGAAGATGGGCGCGAAGCGCCCTCTAAGGCTAGTGATAATAAAAAATAATAATAATAATCAATAAAATAATAATAACAATAAAAGTAACAATAACAATAATTTGAGGTTGATAATAATAATATTATAATAATAAACATAATATTAACAATGATAAAAAGTTATAGTTGTATGGTGGGATAAGCTTCTCATGCACTGACTACAATGTATGTATAGGAAAAAATTAAATCTATCTGCTGTACACAGCGTACAATCAACAAAGTAAAACATACAGTGTACAGTTACACCCACAATGAAATTGTACAGAGTACAGCAGTATTTATATATATCTAGTAGGTGTATAGAATGAACAATATTGTACAGACCACAGTAGTATTTATATATCTGTGTAGTAGATGTACAGAATGAACAATAAATTCGTAGCTTCCGTACAGTGTACTGTACACAACATATGGTTCTATTTATGTACAGAAATACGTACATTATGTAAAGTGTACAGTATGCCCCTACCCTGATAGTGTACGGTTGGACCGGAAGAAGAAGACTAGAACGGAACTAGATGAATCATGTGTTTATATACCTACCTACCTAACAACCCTCCCTCCTTGAGAAATTGATTTACGCCAGACTTTTCCTAGTGCAGGTTTCAGGGTTACGAAGATGCATGTACTGAGCCCGCCAGGCTGCCAGCAGGAAAACTCATCCTCAAAAATTCTAGAAGCAAGGATGAATTTGCCCCGTGGACGTTTTCAAATATGCAAAATAATTGGGTTCAGGGAATTTTGTCAAAACTGGATCAAAGATTTAAATCAGGGGGCGGAAACGTCATGTATGTGTTTCTGTACCAAAAGAGTGTGTGTTAATAATAGCGAACCGAAGGCGTGTACTGTAGGTTTATACAGAACATAAGAATCTCGGTATTTGTACAGTCTCGGAGAGTACATTTCTTTATTGTTAATCGTCGTTTACTTAAAGATAAGTTTAATATACATGTAGTATATTTTTTATATTTTTAAAGTCAACACTATAAGCTAAAACTTCATGCAAAGAATATAATTTGATTAAAGTTTACAAAAAACTACTTGTTATTCAAGCTTAATTATAATTGACGCCATTGTTCTGCAATTTCCTTGACTGTACTCATGTTGTGTATCTGTACCAAAAGCGTGTGCACGTGTGTAATAACGAACTCGTCTGCAAAGCAGTGCGATTGGCTTTCTCATGTCAGACTAGCACCATTTCCCTTCCATTAAAATTCGTACTAAAAAACTGATTAGTTTTACTTGCCACAAATTCTAATGATTTGACTGTGCAATATAGCTAAATTGGTAGTTTGAATTTTTAAGGTAAGTGATGACTTAAAAATCGTCTTTGTTCCACGCAGAAATATGTTGGTGATTCCAATCTATCAAAAAAAAAGCAGAATTGTCAAAATGTTTTTCGCATTTTAAAGATACAAGTAAGGTAGACCACAGTTTGGAAAGCTCATAAGACTGTTTTGATGCTCACTTTGTCATTTTAATAATTGGAACGACCATCTGAATTATGCCACCCTGTAGATAAGAAATATTTGAATTATGCCACCCTGTTGGTAAGAAATATTTGAATTATCCCACCCTGTATGTAAAAAACTATTGAAATACTTGAAAGTCGCTGTTAAACGTGCCTGGAAAGTTACGAGAACTTTTCAACAACTTTATCTATATTTATCAATAGTAAAGTATATATATAATAGATGGATTTAATGAACAGACAAGCAAAGTATATATATATATATAATAGATGGATTTAATGAACAGACAAGCAAAGTATATATATAATAGATGGATTTAATGAACATATTCATGAACAAGTAATGGAATAAAAAAATATTACCATACTTGTTTACACAAAACATTTATCTAAGATGTACATAACAATTGGTTTATTTAAACTATTAATAACATTTTACAACAACGTGTTCGCATATATATATATTGATTTAAAATAAAGAAATGTAATTTGAAAAATATAATTGGTCTTTTTTTATAGAATTTTTGGTTTGAGAAGATTAAAGTTTGGATGAGGGTTCATCTACTCTTAGTGTTGTTGAATGACAGGGGAAAAAGATGATACCCAGCCATAGATACCCAGCCATAGATACCCTGCCATAAATACCATGCCAACGACGCCCTGCCATAGATACCCTGCCATAGATGCCCTACCATAGATTGCAACAAAATAATAAATGTATTATATTGAAATTTTTATTAATTAATGTATCAATGGATCAAAGTATCAATGAATCAATGTATCAATGAATCAATGTATCAATGAATCAATGTATCAATGAATTGATGTATCAATGAATCAATGTATCAATGTATCAATGGATCAATGGATCAATACACCAAAAGTTTTTGTACAAGTGGATCAATGTACCAATGGATAAATTTACCAATGGCTCAATTTATCAAAGGATCAATGTAAAAATGGATCAATGTAAAAATGGATCAATGTATTAATAGATCAATGAACCAATGGATCAATTACCCAATAAATCAATTTAAAATTGGATCAAATAATTCATGGATCAATAAATCAAAATATCTATGGATTCAACTTTAAAATACTTATTTAATGATGTGAAAATGATAGGTTTGTTGCAATTTTTATATTATTGTAATATAATTTTACAGAAAACGCATGCTAAAGTTATTTTAAAGGAATAAAAAATCCAAAATGGCGTTAAATATTGCACTGTGAATTGTACGCGGCACAGTGTGCGTTTAATGCATTTCTCTGGAGTTCCTGGAACATTAACAATGATATGAGTCGTTAAACTGTCCAAGAAATAAAAGCTTTTAACGCATGGACTTCTCATAAACAGGAAAGGGGTGAGGCCTTTATAGGTCTTTCAAACACATTAAACAAATCCTGATGATCTATTGTAATAATTCAAATGAAATATCTTCTAGAAATAGAGGACTCTCAACTATTATTTTACAGGCTTACCCACAAAAAATAAGACTTTTATGATGCCAATGGAATCTATTAAGATTGATAATTTGATAATAGAATTAACTTTTATATTCAGAAGATTAAATAGAATACACGTAGCAAATATTGTAGCAATCCCCATATTTGTTAACCTGAGCATACCTAGATAAACATGAGCTAACTAACTAACATGATAAAAACATCCATTGTGACTAGGTTAACTACGTTTATATCTATCCATGGTAATCCTTTAAATATGTACATTCAACTTAAACTGCGCTGTAAACATGTGTGGAGATAGCTTAAGTACATTATATCTATCCTCGCTAATCTTGAAAATACGTACATTAAACTTTAAATGTGCAGTAAATACATAACATGATTGTCTTAATCATGTGATATACATACTAAGAATACAGAGAGAGTGTTGTATCTGTGATACAGACTAAAGTATTATTGTGGAACATTGAGTTCTAGAGCGAGTTGAATCTGAACGATACATACTAAGAATACAAAGAAAGGGTTGTATCTGGATTGATACAGACTTAAAAGAACAATCGGAGTATAGCGTTTGGTACATGTACTTTCTGTCAAACTGGAACATTTTATTTTTGGGTCTACACCTCAACCGGGGAGTTGGTTCAAGCTGCAGAGCCATGTTAATGACTCAAAATCAAGTAAAGCCTTGTGTAGGGTTAGGGCTGGGAATGCCCAATTAGGGAATAGATATAAAGACAAATATGGGTGTGTTTAAAACTGGTGTCCATGGTGCATGGACTCTGACAGGGGTGTTCAGGTTAGGCTTAGTGAAGCTCATTTGATTTTTTTCATGCACTTGTTTACTGCATCAGCTCAACGTAGGAGCTTTGACATCTCAGAATTTTTCTCAGCAGTAGTGGAAAGGGGTGTTGACTCATTAAAACTAGGGCTCAGGGCTTAACTTGGGGGGGGGGGGGGCAAGTAAAAATTCTCTGCTTGGGAGAGGAAGGAGTCTGGCGATACTAATTGAGGCTTGGATGGTTGCCTGCCATGAGGACTAACTTGCTGGTAAGGGTAATAGATGTATTTAATCAGCTCTATTTAACCAAAAAATAAATGATATCAGAAATATATTTGAACAACCCATACTGGACTTATGAACCGAAATGGACTAGTCCAGGCGACTGTTAGCGTGAAGAGGGGATGTGGTTTTGGTCACTGGCCTAGACCCTGATGTCACGATTCACAGAAGACTTGTGTCATTAATCGAATATACATTAATTTCCGTCATTTGGTGGTTATTTTCGAAGGGGTCTCGGCCTTGATTTCTACGGAGTGATGGTTGATCTTTCATTTATTTATATTTAGTAGATTAAATAGAATACACTGATAACCAGAAAACTTTAAAATAGAAAGACGACTTTTAGAATCGAGTTATAACTTTAAAAAGCCAAATCAGCATGAGACCTACACAGAATTTGTGCAGTGTAAACAGACCCATTTCACTAAATAAGTGATTTAATAAGTGTCTAGTGAACCTATGTTCTTTGTAACAGCATAAATTATACTTAAGTATATTGCTATAATGCCATCTTCATATTCCATTGTTTTCTGGTTATCACTGTACAAGATATTAAGACTTTATGAAGATCTGAATTTTGAATTTATCCAGGGAAAAAGAAATATTCATGTACATCCAAAATTATCATGTACCACCACAAGTAACTGAAAAAAAAAGAATAGAAGTAACCATTGTAATGTCTGGTTTTCCTGGAATCAATATGTTTTCAACAAATTTAATGGTTTGGCTGAATGCAAATATTTCTTAGCGCTGCAAAATTTGCTTAATTCTTATCACAAATGCGTATATATATATATGGACATGTTTACTGCAAGATTGAATTTTAAAGTAAATCAAAAACTTCCGCATTATACATTCAATATTCATAGGAAATCCAATCATATTTTTAATGAATAGAATTTAATATATTATTTGAAATAAAAACATCAGTATACACATATAAAGGACTTGAAAACGTGCATAAAACCCTAATTATATATTCCTTAAGAATGTTTGAAACCTAATTGTGTATCTTTTTGTAAATTCAAACTTTGATTTATCTATAAAGTAGAAGTAACTATTTGATTTTGTAAAACATAATGCTTGATACTTGGATAAAAAGCCCTCGGCAATTTTGAGGAAATTGTAGTAAATGTTGAATATGGTTAATTTATATATAATTAAAATAAATTTTAGATTAACTTTTTGAAGTTTATTTCACTAATTGTAGATTTCCATTGTTAAGGAACTAAGTCAATTTGCCACAAACTAATCCCTATCTTTGCAATCCAATGTGGTAGACCTTAGATATCTAAAACTATGAATTTTGTTAGAGTAATTAGATTATTAGAGAGATTATACATTGATGCATATTTTTAAATATGTTGCTTGCAGTCAACTTTGTATTCGTGAAAGTATATGAATGTATTTTTAAAAGCGCCGCGCAATGCACTTGAAACATTAAGATTGCGGAGTTTTAAACCAGGAAGAGAAGACGATTCAACTGATATTGTAT